GCATGAACATGAGCATGACCATATGACTAAGTCAGTGAATCCTCGACATCGCTATGCATTACTCTTGCGCCTGGTGGCTTTCTCGGCCTTGCTTAGGACCTTTGGCCACAAGCCTTGGGAGATTAGCCGCAGGTACTCGGCCCTGTGCGGTGTGGGAGGCGTCACGCACACACGACCCAGGGCCAGGAGCTGCTGCGACCCGTAGCTGCCACAGCCGACACAATACCACAACTTCAAATCGCCATGAAACTGCATTCGGTGACTGGGGTGAACATAGCCACCCGCGATATGTAGCAACGCGCCCTGGGGTTTACGAAAGAACACGCCATTATAATTGATCGGGGAGAAACATGGGGACCTGAGCCACTCCGTTCGGGTCGCTTTCGACGCCGATCCTCCGCACCTGGTGCACCTGCACCCTGTGCTGTCCACAGTGTGGGACGAAGCAAGAAGGGCGAGAGAGGCAGCAGCAGGAGGCGGAGGGCGAGGGGGGACGGCAGGACCTTTTTCCTCCTCGGCACACCTATCCTTATCTTCAGCTGCCATGGAGTCGAGAGTAGCTCGCAGAATACGCATCCTGACGAGCCTAGCCTTCCTCTCCTGTAGCAGCACTCTGTTACGGACCGCCTCTGCCAAGCGGGCTTCCTGAGCCGCTTGTCCAGCGATCTCGTCCACTATCAGGTTGCCTGCCACCATCCACCGAGGTGCCTTCCCCTCGACGATGTCAGTGGCAGACAGGTGTGAATTGACAAAAAGAACAGTGATGGCGTCCTGGGACCTCTTCTTCAGCAGAAGGCCCAGGCGCGCCCACAAGTCGGCGTCGTCGCCTGTGGGCGCTTCGAACTTGCGACAATAAAAACCTGAAACAACCGATTCACAATCTGAAATGAAAACAATGGATCCTGTGGTCATCCAGACTGCCAAGAGCAACGCGCGCAACTCGCCTCGAGCAACAATCTGTCTGGGTCCCGCCAGTGGGCCTCTGACAGTCGAGGCTAACTGCAGCTGAGGCTCTAGAGCATGCATGAACGCCACTGCGACACCTACTCTGCTGAAAAGCGGGCTGGCCGTGTCTGGCCCTCCACTTGCATCACCAAAAGCAAAAAGCGGTGCCTGCGCCGACCCTCCTGCGACACAGCCCTCGACCACAGCTTCCCCGAACAGCTCCTCGGTACCGACCCACGCCTCGGAATCGCAAGGCGGCGGCACCTCTGTCCAGGGCGCTGGGATGAGGCCACGGAGCCAGAAGGCCTGGTCGGCCTCTCCCTGTGCGAGGGCCTGTGGGATCAAATCGTCCGACTCAGTGTACGCATCTTTCTCGACATTGCATTCACATAACCATATCCGATGCATCATGTCCTCTGGTGCAATCCTACAGCGCGGGCACACAACATCACCCGTGTACCTGCTCAGCTCATTTTTCTTGCGTTGCCGCGGCCAGCACCCGCCCACTGCACATGCCAGCATGACCTCTGCCAAGCGATGGCCGTGCACTGGGACTGCTGCCAGCTGTTGCAACAAGATCTGGTATGACACACAATCGACGCCCTGGGCCAGGCCAGCCCCGCAGAAGTGTTGACTCGCCTTCTGCCACAGGTTGTGCTTCAGGGTCTGCTTGAAGTCCATGATGAAACCCTGGTGTGAGTCCAGAGCTGCAATACCTGAGTACCTATCATCGTCGAACTTCCATGTGCCCCCTGCAGCTGGATGACTAACAGGGAGGCCCCATGCTGTGGCCTGCTGCGGGTCCCAGCCTGCCTCCATCAGGTGCAGGACGGTGGCCGTGAGAGGGCCCCTCACATGGCGCACTCGCTGCGCGGCTGGCAGCTCCTGCATGTGCCTGTAGACGTTGTCCCACGCCTGTCGCACACCAGCTCGTAGCTCGGGTTGCTCTCTCCAGGCCCGCAGCCACAAGTCCAGGGTCTCGACTGGTAGCTTGATCGCTGGATCGAGATCCCCAGCCCGCAGGGCCAGCAGCGTGGTCAGGCAGCGGCCCCGTGTGGGCGCCGCCACAGCCTGCCCCAAACGCCGTCGGGCCTGCGTCATCCTGGCGCCAAAGGTGCCGTAGGCCTGGTGCCCGTACACCCCTGCTGCCTGCGCCCCCTGCTTCTCGAGCCTACCCGTAATCCGATACTTCTTCGACACGAACGCATACCTTCGCACCTTGCCACTCATGGCCTTGTGCTTGGCGTCCCTCTTCACCCTCGTTTCGCGTGCCATCCTTTTGCCCCCGCCCAGGTCTACCCCCAAGTAGGTGGCCTGCTTGACTGGCTGCACAGAGTACCCTGCACGAGCCACTCGCTTGGCGACCCATTGAGCGTCCTGGAACGACGAGCACATGATAACCGACTTGTTCGCGACCTTCAGCTGCTTGGCCTTCAGCTCCTCACAAGTATTGATGACACATGCCGCCAACTCTTTACGCACAACAGCTCGAGATCCCCGTACTGACTGGGACAGGTCATCAATCCAGATACGATGCCCCATTCTCGGGTGGGCAACTGTGATGACCTCCAGCACGTAGTGAGTCATGGCCATGGCGAAGCGCGTTCCAGCCCTGAGGCCCTGGACCACGCTCCGCGACGGCTGAAAAGCCCGCTTCGATGCACCAAGCTGGCTCAGCGAGCGAGCTGCGACGCACTGCAACAACTCAAGGTACAACACCTGCGGTGGGAACTCGAGCGCCAGCGCACAGGAGGCCAGCGGTGCCCACTCGATGGAGTCATAGAACGACTGAATGTCAACGAGGGCCTCGCCCGTGGCGACTCCAAGGTGATGAGACACCTCCTGCTGCAACACGCGCACGAAGGCCTCGCGGAGGCTCGAATTCCCCCTGATAGCTGCGTCCCAGTGAGCTTCTGCCGATGCGGACCAGCTGCGCACGCATGGCTCACGGATAAGACTCCATAGCCTGCCCACCATCGATACAAGTCCAATGATACGATCTCCATTTGATTTCTTCGGCAGAAGGCGCCCTAGAATCAGAAGAATTTGTCCTGGCCATACAAGATGATACTCGCATGCTTGATACAGCAACACAAGCTCGGCGAGTGCCTCGTCGGGGAGGCGCTCGAAGTCGAGCGGACTCAGCATATCCACCCCCATGCCAGCACGTCCCTTCATCTTGCGAAGGGCACCTCTCACTTCCGAAATTGAAATATCTGGCAATGACTCCGTGGCAGCAGCAGCTTGAATCTTGGCGAAGGTCCGAGAGATTTCGTCTTCGTCCAAAGCTGCTGGTGCCCACAAGTCGTGCCACAACTTAGCTTTGTGGTCTATCATATCACGTGGGTGAAAGAGAACTCTATCTTCAAGAACCGTGTCCAGGCTCGGCAGAGCCTGCGGATTGAGGGCCTTGTGTAGGGTTCCCACGGCACCATCCTCACCCATAAAATCCTTGAACTCATTGACACTTTCCTGAACAGCTCTGCGTTGGGCTCTCGCCATGATCCTCCTGGAGCTGTCCTCGAAGCTCGCGAGCACCGGCGTGACCACGTCGTTCGCACTGCTCAGAATCCTCTCCCACTCAGCCCATGGCGGATCACGCCCGTCGAGTAGGACACGCTGAACATGCTCAGGCCGATCCGCCAGGTGGCGTATAAGACCTTGCACGTAGCGTTCGACTTGCAGAGCCCCATTGTCCTTCGTCCTGTGCAACACTAGGCCCACGAGCAGCACGTTGACTTGCGTCCACCACCCGCTGACCTGATCCCGCAGCGGCGTCGCACGTACCTTCTGCGGGAGCTTCACTGTGGTCACCGTGAACCTGGGCCCCGTGGCTCTCGAAGGGCCTCGCGGCAGGTCCACTCCATGATGAGACGTGATGGTGGATTCAACAGCAGACACCCAAGAGGCGTAGAGGCCTGAAATAGTCTCAAGCTCAACAGGCTTGAGCCGAACGGCTACGGATTGACGCAGAGCAGGAGCGAGAGACTGAAGAGTGGCTGCCCCAGAAATGAACCCTACATCACGCCTACATCTAGTCCACAGATCAGTTGGGATAGCGAACGACGGGGCTCCTCCAGAGCCTTCCCCTTCCAGCCCAAGCCCCAGAGGGCCTCCTGCCCCAGAGGAGTCCAGGGTCTGCGGCTGAGGATGGCCAAGAGCAGGAGCCGCAACGCTCGAAGGCTCCACCCCAGACTGCTCGGCCACTTCAGGCACACCTCTGGAGACCTCGTGAGACCTGTAAGGGGGCCCAGGCTGGGAATTACTTAGCATACTAGTTTGCTCATCATTTACTTCAGACGCAGCAGTGAGAGCGGGGAGGAGGGAGGAGTCAGGGCAGAAAGATAATTATTCGGCCCACGGGTCTTCCTCCTCAGGCCACTCGTCAAAATTGAAAGGGTCATTGGACTGCTCCCCAATCCCTGCGACCGACTGGTCATTTTCCCCAAGACCGTCAGCCACAGAGATCGCAGCAGCGGATTGCTCGTTCTGCCAGCAATCCTCGAACAAAGAAGAAAACTTAACGGCTCGCTTCTCGACAGCAAGCTGATGTTGCACCCTACGCGTAGCTTTAGCCAAGCTAGACTTTGACCCAACAGTGGCTTCTTTACACGGCCGAGGAACCTGTGGGAGGCGCCCAGGGGTCTCTAAAATCCTTGTCAAGAGCTGGTCCCCAGACCTACGCAAGACAATTTCTAGCCCTAT